TCCGCGTGGGGCCGGCCAGCCATGGGTGAGACGGGCAAGGAGGAGTATCGCATCCAGTCCTTCGACACCGACACGCAGCAGCTGCTCAAGACGGCGCTCAAAGGTACCAGCCTCCGCCCCAGCTCTCCCGCCGCGCTCGGCCCGGCCGGCGGATGAGGTCGCATGCCTGACCCCTTTTGCTGACACCATCTGCTAAGGGCTGCAAAGGGGCTTCCCAAATAGTGACCCTGCTCCAAGGAGGCCTTTGCTCCTTGCCTTGGCCCTGCTTGCCTTCGCAGCAGCTGCTCAAGACGGCGCTCAAAGGTACCAGCCTCCGCCCCAGCTCTCCCGCCGCGCTCGGCCCGGCCGGCGGATGAGGTCGCATGCCTGACCCCTTTTGCTGACACCATCTGCTAAGGGCTGCAAAGGGGCTTCCCAAATAGTGACCCTGCTCCAAGGAGGCCTTTGCTCCTTGCCTTGGCCCTGCTTGCCTTCTCCCTGGTATCCAGTGCTTCAGCTGTTCCAATTTGGCTCCTTCTCCTCAGAGAAGCAGGATTTGAAACTTGCAGAACTTTTCTCCTCTTGCATTGCTGTGGTTTTCTTGTTTTTCTCTGATTTTTCCGGCTCCCTCCTCTTCCACCCTTACCCAGGGGCTCCCCGACATCTGGTCTCTCTCTCCGCCCCCCAGGCCTGGTTTTGCCTCCCTTTCCCTCCCCATCCTGCTGCGTGCCCATCCCATTCTTCCAGCCCTGGCTTCTCTCACTTCCTATGTCTCTATTCGGAATCCAGTGGCAATTTTCCCTTTTGGCTCCCGTTAACCTGGCTTTGAAGCAGTGCTGGTGTTTCAGACTTGGGTCAGCTTCTTGCTTTCCTACTTCTGTGCTTTCCTCCTCTTTTTTTTTTTTTTTTGCATTGCGATGGCTGCGTGACAGAGGCTGCTGGCTGCTCACGGTGTTGCCTCCCTCCGCAGACCCCAGCAGCGTGGACCTGGACAAAGTGGCCAATATCATAGTGGACCAGTCCCTGCAAGACTGCGTGTTCAGCAAGGAGGCCGGGCGCATCTGCTACACCATCATCCAGGTGAGGAAGAGCCCTCCGTGCGGGCAGCGGGACGGGGGGACGCCCAGGGGATGCTCCAGTGCTCTCACGCTCTGCTTTCATCCCCTGTCCTGTTGGTACAGGCAGAGAGCAAACAGTTCAGCCAGAGCGTCTTCCGAAGGAGCCTGCTGAACCCGCCGCAGGGCG